ACCACACCCAAACAAGAATACGGTACGGGGCTAGGTAGCCAGTAGCTATGCATGTATTAAGATTTTACAATATAAATTTAGTATATTTAGGAAAATCCTTTTTTTTCTATCCTTGGAACTTTTAAAATTAGGATAAAAAATAAATAAAAGTCATTTCCGGATTTTAAGAGGAAGAGCTGATTAGCCTTAGGTAAGGCAATAATTTCTCTTGGGGTAAGCGGATTGCGATCCGCTAACTCGTTCTTGTTCTAAGTATAGAACGAAAGGTCGGTGACCTAAATTACGCTTCCTCAAGCGCTAAGCTACGGCAGCCCCGCTGCACACAATGCCATTAGATCTTACAGCAGCTGCATTGGATGGATGGGTGTTATACTGATACACCTTAATATCTGTGGTTGGCGGAGGAGTGGACACCATATTTTTTTACTTGGCGAAGAAGTGGACACCGCACTTCAATCGGCCAGAAGATACTTGATCGCTGCTAATGCATGAACGGACTTTGATAAAAACTCTTTCGATTTATCACTTTAGTTTGTCTTGAATTGTTTGGATCCTCTGTGTTATTCAAAAACATATGAATCAAACCCTCGTTTCGCTCTGGTGCTTCTTGCGACTAAGATTTGACAAAGTGTTTTTAACATTTTAAGTAAATATGTCGTCCACCATATTCATCAAGAGAGCTGCATTGCAATATGATATTCAATATTTTTGCATGCAATTTCAACAATACCACTCCATATGGATGCCAGAATAACTTCGTCGTTGTATTTTGCAGGTAGCAATAAAGAGACTGCTTTTCTCGTTGTCTTTTAAGGCGCACCGGCGTAATGATCTTCGAATAGTCGATATGGTTATACGATAGAACTCAAATAAGCAGCAAAATTCTCAATTTCTTGACTGCAATCAAACCAGTCTTTGCTATTCCAACGTCAATGCTCACATTTTAAATACATATTGGATTTATGAGCTCAATTGTAAGATGTGTTCGAATTTGATTTGTACTATTTGCAATCAAAAATTGGAATCATCACTTATATTTTCATAACTGATTAAATTTCTTTTAAATTCAGATCTTATTTATAATAGTTATAGATCAATAATTGTTTATAAATCTTTTGATTCTGTAATATTATAATCAGCACATGTGTCTCTTAATTGACATTATGACGTTTTGCGTAAGAATGATGTGTTGGGTCACATTGCTTAATAATGTAAAAGATCAGAAATGTTAAGCAATTAAGGTATTGAAAGGCTAGGGCGGATGGACAAGTTACGTCTATCACTCGGAACGCAGGAGGTTCTTAACGTCACGGCTTATCTTAAGAAACACTGTCTGACATAGCACCCCTTTGTATCCGCAGGCTTTGAACGATCTAGTGGTTGAGCGTGGCTTGACAGAGTGGCATGTTGTGCGTGACGCCTGCATCTTCACTGACTCCGACGAGACAGCTGACCTGGTTTACGGATATGCGATGACTGCAAGCCTTCAAGAAGAGCGCATTGACCGCAAGCGCAAGCGGAACGCTAAAAACCGGACTGCTGTAAATGAACAGTCAGAATGGAGCTGCTTTGCAGTGTTATCCGCCGTATCTTCCCACATGTCTCCAGTTCTTAGTATCAAGAGGTACATTCAAGCTTCGATACATCACCACATCACCCTATTCTCAATAAAAAAAATTTATATAGGTTCTTGGAACTTCAGCAATGCGTCGAAGCCAATGAACCGATTAAAGGATCATCCGCCCTGACGCGAACGTTCATATGTCTTACAGATGCCGCCAATATTAGGTACAGACTAAGTGCTCGACGTGCAAGTGATTCATGCCAGTACTTAACCAGAAATGCTAATTCGCAGCTACTACGCTCTCCAAGCACCAGCAACCCTCTTATAACCATTTGAGCTTATTTTAAAATAATGACACACTTAAAAAATGCATGTGTGCCGCAGTGTAGATCTCATGCGTTTGCCACTACCAACTCCATTGTCTCGAAATTATCTTGTGAGTGCAGGATGTAGGATACATGTTAAAGCTTCAGTACGACGCTGTGTCACGACAATTACTTCTGGCGCATTGACTAAGACCGAACGTCCTCTGCCTCTGGCGGGAATTCGAGTTGTAGAGTGTGGTCAGCTCATTGCCGGACCTTTTGCTGGAACTATCCTCAGCTACTTCGGCGCTGATGTAATCAAGGTTGAGCCTCCTACTGGTGATCAGGTGCGCGACTACCGTGAGCTGGACTCTACCAAGACGTCTCTGTGGTGGTATTCTCTCGGACGTAACAAACGCTCGATGGCCATCGATTTGAACAAGAAAGAAGGTCGCAAGCTAATGTACGAGATCATTCTACAAAGTGATGTGGTTATTGAAAACTTTCGACCCGGGCGTATGGAGAAGTGGGGGCTTGGGCCCGACGACTTTGAAAAGACCAATCCAAAACTTGTGTATGCACGTGTGTCGGGTTTTGGTCAAGACGGACCCTATTCGTCGAGACCGGGCTTCGCATCGGTTTGTGAGGCCATGGGTGGCTTCCGGTATGTTAATGGCTTTCCTGATCAGCCACCGGTTCGTCCTAACCTAAGTATTGGGGATACTATTGCTGGAATTCACACGGCGCTGGGAGTTGTGATCGCCCTTCTTGGTCGTGAGCGAAGTGCTGCCACTGGGCAGAATAGCAATGGACAAGTCGTTGACATAGCAATCTATGAATCAATGTTTAACCTCATGGAGGCGGTGGTCCCTGAATATGACTATGCAGGCACCATCCGCGAATGCTCGGGTTCTACGATCACAGGAATCGTGCCTTCCAATACATATGTCACGAAAGACAATAAGAATGTTGTTCTTGCGGCCAATGTCGATGCGTTGTTTATTCGGCTTATGAAAGCTATTGGCCGAGACGATATGGCAGCGGACAGCAAGTTTCGCACAAATGGCGATCGAGTTGAGCACCAAGCTGAAATTGATGCCGTGCTAGCGGCGTGGACTGCTTCGCACGATCTGGACACAATTGTTTCTACAATGGAAAAAGCTGCTGTCCCGGTTGGTCTGGTTTACTCTGTAAAAGATATGTTACGAGATCCGCACTACCAGCATCGCGGTATGTTTGAGGAAGTAAAAATTCCAGATGGATTAGGTACTCGGAAGCTGAAGGTGCCTGCAATACTACCTAAGCTGAAAGCAACACCTGGTGTAACGCAGTTTGCCGGGCGTAAGCTGGGAGAGGATACACGTCAAATTCTAGAATGCGTTCTCGGCCGGTCTCAACCCGAGATTGAGCGAATGCTGGCTGAAAAAATTGTATTTGAATCGTAACCTTAATATAATACTTACATCTTAGATTTGTGTAACGGTGTGCATTTTAGCTACGACACATAAAGCTTTAGTAACACTGAAAAGCAGGCGTAGGCGGTATGATGGTTGGATCCCAGCGGCAAAAGTAGCCCTTCCAAAGCCTAGGCAGCAAGTATCGTTTGAATATAAGCGAATGTCAAGATGTGAAATACCAGAAATGCAACGCACTTAATGTTCTTGGAGAGAGAGCTTGGGGATAGCAACGTGCCTTGTTCACTCGGTGTGTACATTTGGTTTATAAATTGGTTGCTCTGTCCGTTAATTTCGCTCCAGATCGAAATCACCCGGTGCTTAGCGAAAAAGTCCTTTCTGCAGAACAAAATTTTGTAAGATACGGAGCAGTGAAGCGACATTAGATTATTTTACCGCTGACGTTCGCAATCGAACATGAATGTGCCAAATTTACATGAGTAGATGTGGTCGGCGAGGGTTATGAGAAAGTTCTCGTTGAACTCGCATGCTGTCGGATATTGGCGAATATATTGCCAGACGCAATCCAGCCAGAGCAGAAACACAGGCGAACGCTGTTCATTTGAGATGTCACTTCGAGCATGACCGCTTCGGAGAGCAAATTGGTGTCCAAACGCACACCATTCTTTTTCGACAAGAACCTGAAACCCACGTAGAGTTCGGTAGTATGGATCTAGCATCAGCTCAGCCAAAGCGACCATCTGAGCTGTCCGATCCCAGCCATCGCTGCAGTGCGTTAACACCGACATGCCATTATTTACCGTATGCGCCAGCTCGACGGATGCTTTTAAAACTAAACGCACATGACGTAACCAACCAGAACTGTCGATTCGTCCATAAAAGCTGCTGGAAGATTCCTCCTTCGAACTTTTTTTAGGCTCAAAAAGTGCTGCCAGAGCAAGTTGAGATTGCCGTACAGAATGAATATTATCAACATTCATAAAGTGAAGCTTTGATCCGCGGTAGTTGCTCGAAATTTCAGTTCCTTTTCCTAAAGCCTTATTTCCTACCGCAGCTAGCTGGCTACGTGCATCCATAATCACATATCGTCCAAGTGCTTTCTTGTTGCTTGAACAACATAGCAATCGAACAAGCAGCTCATCTTCCCCATTACGTACAGATTTTAAGCCGACAAGCGGTTGACTTGAACGGACGATAGTGGCTCCATTAATGCGATGAATCCAACTCACAACTGGTAGTCTTTTGTGGGATCGAAATGCAGCTGCTGTCTTGAGGGAGACATCCGAAATTTCTGCAGGCACTACAAGGTGACGGGGATACGTATCGCACAGTGTATACTCCGGGGACTGGTCGATACAGCGCAGATGTTCTGGATATGATAGCAACCCAATTCGTCCATATTCATGGCGAATGTCAAATTGCACTTCTTCGGATGGCGCCACAGAAGGAGAATACGAAAAGCAGAAAGCATCCAGCAAACTTTTTGGAAATGCCACAAAATTTAAGCATTTGAGTAGCTTACTGTAATCGCTATAGTCCGCGATGGAGAGCCGCGCTACCTGTGTGTCCTTGCAGCGAATTACGACCTTATATGAAATGTTCGGGGCAATATTACGAGTAGATTGCATATTTTCCAGCAATGCGACAGGACCTGTCATTATAGAAGTCGCACGAGGCTCAACACCTTCCACTGTAACAATAGAGAGTACAGGGATTTGCCAATCGATTTCTCCGTTATCTATTAGACGCTTAAAAAGACAGCGGTAGTTCGTGATGAACAATTCCCCGCTGATGTAGCTGGACAGGCATGATCCATCGTGAGAAAGTACCAGTCGCTGTATACTTGATTTAACATCAACGTAGCACATTTCTCCGGGTAAAAAGTTAAACTGAATCAGCGTGGACATAGCAGTATCTGATTTAGGTATAGCTCGGGTAGCGTCCGCAAGTTCTACAGCTTCAGAAGTATCTAAGCTGTTCGTATCATGTTCTCGAAATATACCACCGCAGTGGCTAAAGCCCATGTATACAGGGCGGCTAACGAGTTGAAGACGACGCTTAACTTCTTCTGTTGTCACACCTACAATAGGTACACCATTAATTGACTGCAGAATGTCCCCCAAATGCACTTTTCCACTAGCTTCGGCTTGGCCGATTTCGTCGCATTTGACTGGATCTTCTCGAAATGATTTCACGACAAGACGATTTTTATAAGGAGGCCCTGCGGCAGCCAAAACAATGCCAAGCGGGCCTGCCTGAAATTGGACAACATTTAAGGACGTTGCGTTTCTTTCCGACCCCTCTCCCAATTCGTCACCGTCACTTTGCTGTATTTCCTCGATCATTGGATCTTGTAATATCCTGGCAAACTTTATCAGTTCTGTAGAAGAATTCCGTTCATCCAAAGCAATCACGTCAGTCTTTCCACTTTGGTAGGCACGCATCAGGAGACGTAAACAGCCAGTGCTATCCGACTGACGCAATTGAGATGACATAAGAAGCAGTTTTGCCACACATATATAACGAAGTAGTGGAAAGCCCATCCAATCAGGATCTTCGTTTGTACTAATCAGTTTTGGTTGCTGCAACAAGTCACTGTCGGACTTGTCAGTCATATTAATAACTGGGAACTTAATCGCCATGCGATTATCCATGATCATTGCATCCCAAATCGATAAAACCTCGTTTAGCTCGTACTCGCGTGCGAAGAGCAACCGCACCCATCTTAAGCAGTATGTTTCTGGTACAATTTCTAGGTTTTGAAGGTGGTAATACAATTGAGGGTCCTTTTCCTGTAACAATTCATATTGAATATGTTGACATAATCGATGCAAAGCTGGCTGTTTCTCTCGGGCTTCCTGGTCGAATTCATTGCCACTTTCCATATTTTCCAGCGAATAACTTTCAAATAATCGGCTGTCGTCATTTGAAGAATCTTGTATCGTTTTAACGATTTCAAAGAATGGTTTAAGAAATAGCATGATTGCCTCAAACACCACGAAGATGTCTGCTTCGGCATGCTCCGGCAGCTTTTTTACTTGGTCAGTTTCGTTTTTTTCCTCATCAGGAACACGATGGAAGGCATAGAGTACTACGGCTACCACATCGTGCATGCCTTGACGGTAGGCCACGTCCGGGTGCAGTCGGCACCACACAAATAGTACGTGGCGCAGCGTACTCAAATATAATGGATTTTGGAAAAAGTTCTCATTACCAGCCGGAAACAGCCGGTCTAAGTCCGTATTGATCTCTTCAATTAGCGTTTCGTCTGAAAAGTATTGACTCCAGCTTGAAGAGCGTCCTAAGGCCGAATTCTTAGTAGCCGTTAAGGCGGTCAGTGGGTCGTTACTGCCAGCGGCATCTATCTGAAAAACCATGTGCTGCTTCAAACGTTCGTACCGCTCGCGTTGAGCTGTAAGAGCATCACCCTGTAGGCCAAATGCCGCTACCCATCGCATCCCATGCCTTGCCATATTGTAATTCTGAAAAGTTTTGTGAAATAGAGAAAATGATTTGGAGTTTAAGCAAATTTGTCACTCTTCCAAGATCTATAGATAAAATCAATACACTACAGGTCAATAAGAGATCCACTTGTTTTGTCAGAGAACCTACGTAACTAAAGCAACAAATAGACTGTAATGCCAATCAATACTTTTGGTCCTTGGTTCTAGCATTTAAATTTATACAAGCAGTGGAGCCGATTCCCACCCGTTCCTCGATCGGCGGTGAAACTGAAGTTCGCATCGCCCGAGTAGAGCTAGTTTCCTCGCGTCTTCCTCGTCAGTCACACCTCGATCGCTCCGCGCGACCTCGGCTCTCTAAATGTTATCCTTTTTCATTTCTGTCGGCTCGATCGTTGCTCTGTCTTCCCTCGTCCTGCCAACCCTTGTCCTCGACACTTGTCCTGTCATTTGGCAATATTTCTACCCTTGTTGCTCGCGCGCTGCCGACATTTCTTGTATCTTTGCCGTCTTTATAATCACATCACCGCTATCGTCGTTTAGCGTGCTTGTAATTGGCCTGTCATTACATCTAGTGATATGCGTTTTCGGACTTTTTCTTCACAAACAAGCTTGATCTTTAAGCCTACGCGCTTTGCGCTTACAATGCTTTTCTCTGACTAAAACTGTATGGTCGCGGTCTGGTTGTCCATGATCATTCTCACTGGCGTAATTTCTCAAGGCTTACGTTCTTGAATTCGTTCAGGCAGTCCTAGAAGCTCGCGTCTAGCGCGCATCATAGTACTACAGTCCGTTTTTGTATTTCCATCATACAGCGACACCATCTACTCCTCCTGTGACTGATTTTCGATAGCTCAAAAAATCCTCTTCACAGGTTTGCAATTGTTTAATCATGGCTGCTTCGTCGTTCTCGTCACGCATAGCTAATTTCCGTCTCTGAGCATCTAGCAACCTCGAGGAATCTACCAGAAAACTGAAACCCTCCCACTGTGGACTCACCAGTACTGCCAACTTATAGCGACAGCTTCGCGGCATACCACATCCTTTCCAATGCCACACGACTACTTGTACGCAGTATCCTTATTTCGTTTCGTTCCATCCTCTGTTTTTCAAAGTCGTACCCTCTGCTTACTTGCCTTTGTCCCTATCCTCGACAATCCCTTTCCCAGCTCTTCGAGACCAAAGGTTTGCCGGTTCACAATGCGTTTCTGTTCATCTATCGCTGGTTTAATGTTCTGCCAATATATTGCAACCACCACGCTTTAATTTGGCAAATAAACTCCAACTCACCGTAGTCGACTCTAACGACTGGCATCGCCGTAAACCTTTGTACAGCGATCCAAACGCCACAATTTATCACGTGATCGTTGAGCTCTCCGTGAGTATTGCACCGTCGACATGTTCTTTTGATTTGCGTCGATGGATCAGAGTGAGTATGAAGGCCGCGTACTCCTTTGAGCCTCCTCAGATACAGAGTGGCAACCTCCTGACAAACACCATGATTTGAACTATAGTAGCTTCCTTGCAATGCATCATATCCCACCTTCACTACCTATCCGAAGCGCGGCTCATGATTTGCCTTGCTTTCTCCGTCTCTTCACCAAACAGATCCAGTGTCTTATACATCCTGTCGCCATCAGCGATATGTGAATAATGCAACTAAAAGGCGCTCGACATTAGTCATGCAATGTTGAAATCATCTGCACCGTACATTTCCTTCCATAACTTTTTGGGTTCTGCCGATATCGATATAATAACATGTTCAGGAAACCCCTTTGTGCTGATCCCAAACATATATACACTGCAAGTTCTTCGCTAAACTCCTCCACATCAAATAACACTGGTGTTTCATTCATTCCTGTCACGAACTTTCGTGTGCCGCGATATGACAGCTCGTATATCAAGAATTCTCCAATTACTGTTTGTCCACAATTTACGCACGCCCGGCAGTCGCACTCGAATCTATCTACCCTGTGTTGGCGTTACCAGCGCCGCACTACCCCCTCTAATTTCCTTATTGCTCATTCGTTGATCGCCACACATTCGATGTTATAATTTTCGACACTTTCTAGCATGCTAGAGTCACTGACTAAAACAATTTTGCGCACTACAATAGCTCGAAAGCCTTCTAAAGTGGATATTCACTAAAACGAAGTATCGAGTTTTAGCAAGATGTCAGAACTCCGAAAATGAGAGTTCGTGGTAGCTAGGAAATAAATCAAGTTGGTAAAAAGTAAAACGTTATACACGTTAAGCGTAAGTAAAATTAATTCTAACTACAAAGATACTCTTGGAATAGTAGAGCGGGCTAGATACCTAGTTACGAAATGACTTTGGCTAGACGCGCACGAGCCAAACTACTGCGCGTTTGTTTGCATGGACTCTAAAATATAAAGCTTTCTCCACGAAAAGTGCACGACAACCAGCTCTTGTAGCCAAATTAACGACTGAGTCGTGACAGGGCTGCATCCTTTGCAAATATGGACTCTAAAATGCTCGACTGTCTGTCCTCGCCGACATTTAGACCAGCTCAATTAGCAAGCTTATGCATGGCTCCCGATGGGATCTTTGAAGTAACAGCTGGCACGCCGAAGGCGGTGATCACTCGTCTGGAAGCTTTGATCAACTCTAAAAACTCGCTGACGGGACTCGCTGGGAATGTCACATCTCAACGTCGGTGGAAACAGAAGATACTCTATATAAGATTGCTGTTGTTCAGAAGTTGGGACGTAGCGGGAGGTTTAAGCTTTTACATTTTCTGGGTGAAGAGAGAGAGATTGTAGTCACCATGTTAAAGAGCCGTGCGCAACAAATATAAATATTCAATATTTGGTAAAAGCGGCGCTCCCAACATGTAAAAGTTAAAGCTGGTATGAACACTGTTTACCTGACAATCGAGGGCGCTCAAAGTTATCGTTCGCCCTACAAGATGCGAGAAATGGTGGACCTTGTCGAAGAGTTATGAGTTTTGAATGCAGCCATGGCAACGAACTTATCTCTGGATATGGCAATGGTAGCCATTCTCATGGAAAGCTTTTGAACGAGTGCGGCTCACACCGAGACATCCCCATCCACCCTACCTCTTTCGATGAAGCAGTATGTGTTTTGACAATGAGAATACAACTTTTGTATCGTGAAGGCCGGATGGGGTACTAGAAACGGATGTTCTACGAGTGCGCCAAATTTGATGATGCTGAGGAAATGGAGAGAGATCTTTCAGCTGCTCAGCAGCTCTGCGGTGCTTAGAGATGATTTCATCGCGGTGTTGCACAACGCCAGCTGCTGCGTGCTCCCATCCAGTAAAATCAAAGTTACGAAGGATTAAACTATCGCGCAACGGCAAAAAAAACAGATCTCTCGCAAGCAGACGTTCAAAATATATAAGCGCTTGGTAGCTTATTGGAAAAGTAGCGAGCTCTTTGTATCTTGATGAGATCATAGTCAGTCAGACACAGCTCTGAAAGAGAATATTGTCTATCAGAGAGGGCAGGGCGCCAGGCGCAGACCTGTGAATCCTGATAAGCCCTGATAACGTTTGGAGCGTCGTGGAATCGCAAACGACGGGCACATGTCGAAAGCAGTTGACAATTCGCGGAGTCATTGAAGATACCTAACACGGATACGATCACCGTGTTTCTTGCGACGGGGACACTGGTGAAAGCGTCGAAGGTTATGCCATCTTCTCACATGATTTCTAAAATATTTGGCAGCATGGACCATTACCTGATCTTTGAGCTGAACGATCGATATAATATTATGCTAGGTATGGCGTTGTAACATATCGCAAGCAATGAGTCGATTGGGAGTCAAAAAGACCAGTTTTCACGCCTTTCTCTTCTGACATAGATTCAGGAGCCATGTATACACCGCAACCAGAAAGCTAAGAAGCCATTGACGCGGGCGCGAAGCTACGATAATTCCATTTATAACACGAGATTGGCCATGTATGGTGGCAAGGATATTGCTGAGTGCCTCGCGCAAAGTTAGGAATCAGATGGGAGGGTGATTGTATATCGAGATATTCAGAGTATATCTTTGTTAAGAAAGGGGGAGGTGATTGCATGTGTTGTACATAAAGGAAATCGGTAAGGAACAATTGTGGGTTATTGACTTCTGTGCCAGGGTCGGTAGAGAGTGAAACAAACAAGGTGTCGCAAACTGCCATGCTAGATCCGGTCAATCTAATTACGGCTGTAAATCGTGAGTAGAAAAATCAGCTTTGAAGTTTAAAAATGAACTATCCTTGTCACGTTGTGACGGCAGCACGACCGTGTGACGTGACCCTTGTGTGGAACTACGGGTAAGTAGCGAGAAAAATTATTCTCTCGTAGATTCAGTGATCTCTTTCAAAAGGGGTAACGAATATCCCCCCACTACATCTGGCAGAAGCTGTTTTAGAGCTTGTTAGAAAGTATCACTCGAGAATATGTGCAAGAAATTGCGAAACAGTGAGGTCATCGAAATGGTACATTTGGCACCGGAGAAGACGTGGGCCTCGTAATCTGTCACGGATAACTATGCCATTGAAAGAGCCAGCCATCCTTAAATAACCTACGGATTCCCTTTAACTCTTGTTGAAGAAATATCACGATGTTATAAAAAAGAGGTCCACCGTGCGTGCCACTCTCAGATGGGGGGGGGTACGTCATGAGATAGATTTGGTAACTCGAATCAAATGTTGTATCACACAGCAATGGCCCTATTCAAAAGTGAAATTTGACGTCGCTGACGCTTTCTTCCGTGTAGAGCACCCTTCTCTTCTTTATAAGAAAGATAGTTGATCATATCCAAAGAACTATTGCCCCTCGCGCTACTAGATAACGACACCAGATTTGGGCCAAAACTCTGGCTTACGAGCCCGACCAAGTATTACCTAAGCTTCTCGGCAATGACTAATTTAGGTTTGTATCCGGTCGTGATGCCCGCCACGCATTAAGGTATTTCTTGTATCTTCAACATTATACCAGCACTTGTGAGACGCGAGCTCCTGCCGTTGCCATTTTCCTCGACTTTGCGAAGGGTTTTGACATTGTCAACAGGCGGTTATTGGATATTGTTCTATAACACTGGGGAATTTTCGTCGTTGGGGTTCAACTATTTATACTAGATCATCAGTACATGTTTTATTAAAGACTCGCGATCACAATTCTTCAGCTTGGGAACGGGTTTTTGACATGGAGATCCACGTTCGCCAGGGCTGTTCGTTCTTTTTTTCGAGCTTTGGTTGTGATATCTTAGAGTGGTCAATCAATGTTTTCAATAAAGATTTGCGATACTTATAGTCAAACTCACAGCTTCACGGACGACATAACAGATTCGGTATATGACTTACACCAAGCCCCTAAGTTTCTCGCCCATGGGCAATAGGTTTGCACTACAACTGAAATGCATTTGAATATGAACAAGTCTGTTATATTCTTTTCGACCATGGAAGTCGTCTGATCACACTTTACTGAATGCCTTTCGCGACTGTGGAAACCAAGTATTAAACAATGAAAACATACCACACTTTTTTGTATACTTGTGAAACCTCAGTGCCGACCCAGCTGATGGTTGAATCAAACACTTCTTCGTATTCAATGACTTTCGTCGTCTGGCGTTGGAGAGCCGTACGCTATAGGGCAGCGTTATACTATTAAAGACGACAATTCAGTCAATATTTATTCTGAGTGTATAAGCAGTCTCTAAGGAAGAAATTAATTATTTCGTCTTTGATTAGAAATTTGTAAACAATACTCGACCACCGTCAAAACACAGCTTAACTGTTTCTCGGCAAATGGCATTCAGTTCGATTGGATCTAGGGGCATAAAATTTTATAATGTATCCGACTCCTTCAAGACAATTTAATACGTCAACTTATTCGACACTGCAGAGCCAAGTTGAACTCCCTACCCAAGTGGTTTACTCTAGCTCAAACTGCTTTCGATTGTGCGCTTCAAGGTCAAGGTAGGGGCTGAGTCTATCTATATATGCCCCTGCAGTCCTTTACAACAACTAATCGCTGAGTAAACGTCCCTCTATATCGGCAGTGATTGCATTGGTGTCCAGCACTCTGTGCAAAAAAAACCACATGAGGTTGGCTCATTGTCCACGCTTTCAGCGCTTGCACTATGACGCACTAAACTTTTTGCCTAAGGTTATGAATGATAATACGGTAATCACTTAGCTGACCTGACCATTATGAAACAATATCTTTCCCCGATTTACTTATCAGAGAAAATTTTTGCTGTGCTACATCGAAAAATATGTCAATATATGTCTCATCATCGTATATTCTGAGTCTCTACATTTTGCGTTTATTTTGGCTCAATCCCTGGCCCTTTAATGCTGCGTGAATCACTATCAGACTCGTCTATCGACACTGCGTGCTCAATAACACGAGTAGTAGAGACAAAATAAGTGTTCCAAGTCACTACAGCACATTCATGATATATTCGAGCTCTCCTGAAGGAATGCTTGCTGCACTCCATATATGGACTTTTGACGACAAAGACATTATTTACGCCAACAGCAGTTAAATTCACCGGCTTCTCAACTCAAGTTCTCCACCGCAATAACTGTTGGCGATCACTGGGAACAGTGAAATAAATGAGGAATGAGGCGTGTTCTCATTGTATAGTTGTCGCGGAAATCCAATGAAATGAGAGACGCCATATAGTGTTGGCTGTGTAGCATTCTCATAGTAAATGCTTTGGAGGTTCTGGCGTAGAACAACGATGAGCACATTTGTTATCTTGAGTGTATCAGCCACATTTATATACAAAGTACAAGCCATTATGTTGTAGTCGAAAAAGAAAGTCTGACAAGGCGGGAAGAATATCACGTTGAATCCTGCGCCGTGTTGACCAGTAATTTATAGGTAGAAAACTTCCATCAAGTTGTAATGACTGCAACGCAACTTTGGTATTAATTTTTCTATTTGACTATTCAACTTCACCTGGTGTTGTATCTTGCAAACATTGGGGAATGATCGTAAAAAGCAATTTACGACGTACCTTGTCTTCACGTTATAAAAGTCTTTTGACAGTGCCTAACACTGATGCACTTACATTTACAGCGTGTCTTCAAGGTTCTAACGCACTTTCACACTCTGAACTCACATCGCTACAAGTTCCAGCTTGGGTTTTAAGAGCATGAGTCCTCACTTTATGGAATACCCTTTCAAATTGTTCACTCTGGATTCAATTACTTTTGGCTTAATATTTGACTATTCAACTTCACCTGGTGTTGTATCTTGCAAACATTGGGGAATAATCGTAAAAAGCAATTTACGACGTACCTTGTCTTCATGTTTTAAAAGTCTTTTGACAGTGCCTAACACTGATGCACTTACATTTACAGCGTGTCTTCAAGGTTCTAACGCACTTTCACACTCTATACTCACATCGCTACAAGTTCCAGCTTGGATTTTAAGAGCATGAGTCCTCGCTTTATGGAATACCCTTAAAAATTGTTCACTCTGGATTCAATTACTTTTGGCTTTAGTCACGGATGTCGACTCTCTTTTGAGTTTAGTCACTATGATTGACTCTCTTTGTCTTTAGTCACTATGGTCGACTCTCTTTGACTTTAGTCACTTATAGTGTTCCTCGAGTCAATTCCCGACTTTGCAATTAGTTTTTAAACTATATTGCTCAGAGAAGCGAAACTAAATGAGTCATACTTCATGTGCTAGTGAAGTTTATCACATTTGATAAGTGCCTTTACGGCTCGCAAAAAAATCCATTTTTAAGTCTTCATCTTTTAGTTGACGAAGAACTAACTAAGTTCTTCATTCGCATAATCATGAAGACTTGCGGGGTTACTGCTTTCGCAATAATTCGCTTTCACTTCCATGCGAGTATGAAAACTAAACTATTTTTGGGTATTCACTTCGTGAAAAGTCATTTGATCTCCACGATATTGCAAAGACTTTGCTTTTGTTTTGAATTAATAACCATCGCGAGGTATCAATTTACCGCCTTTAATGACGGATCGACCACTCATAACAACCTTAACGCTTTCAACTTACAGTATGTCTGCATCGGCTGCCCCGTCCCAGAAAAAAACTGGATTTTTGCAAAAATTACCGTCATCACAATCAACAAGTCAGTGCGATAACAGAATATAACTTCATTTAGCTAGAGAAAAAACTCCCCCACACATGGAGTCGCGTAAACACGTCAATGTAAATGGCATCTCACATACAAGTTAGCAATGCTAGCCACAATGCTGCCAAGACAACATACAGACGTGCGCCGACACGCCGAAGGGTGCGGTCTAATTGAGTGAACCAGCTTTAAGGACTAGCGCAGCATCTTTCTTGCTCATCACCGGAGAGCGGATAAAATCTACAGTGCACTCTTAACAGCAAAGACGGCGTGCAATGGGTATGTCCTCATAACACATGTTATGTGGACCACATACTTTGTGTCTCACATCAATTGTACACCCTGCATGGTTGTAATCCCGAACCAATTCTGATTCATCAGAACAGGAAGTACTTATCAGGTTAGGGAGGCCTATTGGCTTCAATAATAAATGCCATTTCACCTTTCCTCTCTTCTACGTAAGTCGACGGCCCGCTGGAAGCTGGCAACACGCTGTGAGACGTGTCAGTTGACCTTAGCTTTCCTCAAAAAGTGGGTTTGCAAGGACGGGTGATTCTCGTTACACCGCGAGGTTAAAGCTGGGAAGTGTTGGAATCGATAGGTTAAGAAAGCCGGTGCAACGAAGCATTTCAAAGCGGGAGGGAGCGAAGACAGACGGATGGTGCAAGTGGACGGAGTAAAGACGGTGTCGGGACACTGTCGCGAGGGTGGCCTTTTCTTAAGTTTTTTTTGCAGGAGTAGGTAGATTGAGTTAATTCTAACCACGTCTGGTATAACGAGCAATGAAACAATTTTCGCTTTATCATTAAGCATTAAAGATTAACTATTCTTTTGATAGCTCCCACCACCGAACGCTGATGTGTGTATCCATGGGATGAGAGTGGCTCGCAGAAAAGTGTAAGTCTTCATCTCAAAGTATCCTCATGCTTTGCCCAATCAAGTCCACGTTTGATTACACGATAGAAGCTTATCCATTCTATATGAGAGCTCATTATGCTTGCAAAATAATTACTTTGCACGTGAAACGGTTTGAAGTTAGTTTTTACCTTACCGCGTCGTATCAGCCGCCCCGGAAATAGCAGAATGAAAGCGATGGCGATTTGCTTTTATCCCAAATAAAGACTTTTACACGGTCACAAGCCGCGAGGCCTTCTTTAAAGGAAACGGAAATCCCGGAATGATGTTGAACATGAAGCAGTACTCATTATATACGTTAGAAGACAACGTCTTGAAATTGTCATTAAGCCACCCATACATATGCTGGAATGAATTCGTAAAGTATCGCATATAATCCTAGCGGGTGCTATCTTTAAAATATCATCCAGCATCGAAACCATACAAATAGAACGCGTTACGATATAGTTTGATCTCGTTGAGCCATGCAAGCTGTGCGGTTTGATGGCTACAATTGCCTGTCCGTACTCATGGACTGTCAAGATTATGCAACATTTCACCAAAGATAAAGTTCAGACATATAGACTGTTATATTGCTGGATTCAGCCTAAGGTTCCATGCAAGCGGCAAGTGTTTAACCCATTGACATTTGCGCCACGTGTCCGCTTACCTACTTTAGATGTTGAGCGACCAGCATATGGCAATTACTGAGCAGTATGTTCTTTTCTTCCGAAATGGGTAGTGTAATGGGCTACACAAGCCATTGCAAAAGATGCATTTTTTACCTTCTTTATGTATTGTGGGGATTTATAAAATGAAGATTACAGTATGGTGATCCCAAATACATACGTGACATCATATTAATAGTCACAAACGTTCTGTGTGATACAGAATGCCGTTTCCTACTCGGGGATCTGTACTGATGACAAGTCCGACGTATCTCTGTCTTTCGAAGTGGGTGGCATAAGCCAGTCCCTTCTACAAGGTATTTTACGAACATTAAAGCTCAAGGTTTTTGAAGTCCAAGCTCTGTACACCCAAGATATTGTATAAGTTAAAGCTGAGGTTCAACCGCAGTACACCCTTGATATTTAAATCAGGAACCCAAGGTTTTATCAGAAAAAGTTCCGGGAGCCCTTGTGGTGCTTTGCATGTAGCTAGGTACCATAACTCATTTTGATTGAGCTGCAACTTTACTTATGATGCTAAGTCGTTCTTCTTTTCCCCAAGTCGGGATGGCCCTTCTCCCTCCACGTCAGAAATGGCCTTCTCGTCGCACACGCGTGTATATTGTGTTCAAAAGACTGTTTATGAACAGCGCTCCATTACAGATAGTCGTGGGGGTACCGTGTGCCCCGGGCAGTTCTGCACTTGAGATTTTTGTTATGGGTTCACCGCATAGTAAGTCAGTTATGTGATACAGTAAGATTTGAAAGAAGAAAAACGAAACAGGCGTGCGACCGCGCGCTTAAAAAATCGACATTAGAGCTCTCAAACACATTTCGTCCAAAAGCTGTCAGCAATGCTAAATTTGTTTCGTCTGACACGTACGCTGTATGTTCCATCGCATCGACCACCGTCCTTACCATCTTGAAATACAATAGCTCATAGTCAGGGTGGCATAAAAATGCATCAGCCACCACATTAAGCCGACCCACATCAAACCTGGCCCTTTGTCGCGAGTGTGGTTGTTGTTCGTACAAGCTGACGAAAATAATTCATGCCGATTGGCATATGTTTGACAAAAGGCTCAGTCGGTGGCAAAAACCGATCAAAACTCGGAAGGGCCGGAATTGTGGCTTTTCCGATGCTATCTTTTACAGCCTTTAATATTGCCTGTGCCGCCGCTCGCCGGCATCATTTGACATTCATTCTAGAACGACTGGCGTTGGACTGAAACATGCCGGCGTTTTTGCACTATACTTGAGCAAGAAGTTGTCGAGGCCAAGCTACCCCTTCGAGATATAGGCTCTGGTCTATCTCCGATGGCCTTGATCTTTGCGGGATAGACGCGCGCTTCATGCTAAGCATTGGAGCATTCCACAGGATTTTTGCCACCAACGACACGCTTTCCGATATTGGCAAATAGTTTGTCAAAGTGCATACACTCGAGCACTGCTCGCAAGCTTTCCATGTGGCTCTCCGCATTCGACTTCCCGTGCTTAGCACGGCAATGGAACGGAAAATCGTCGAAACAGGTTTTTAAATGGCCATGACAGCTGCGTCACCAGACAATCGAACGTCGCTGTTGCTTTAAACAACCCTTTTGATATGACCAATCACTTCCAGAGCATTCTGCTCGGACTAATCAACGTATGGAGCGGGATAACGCTATTTCCTATCAGTAGTATTTAACAGGCAAAAATACTATGGTCGGCTCTAATTTTATCAGTGTCTATCAGGCCAGATAAAACTAGAGCCAACCATGTTATTCTTCAGCACATTTTTTTTTGTTTGCGCCGGAAAGTTACTGCATTTAGCTTTTTGGATGCATGCCGAATTTGCCACTTGCCTTCAGCCTCTCTGACACAGCAACCCGGCACCTTTACATTTATAAACGAGACATATAAAATAGACAGCTCTGCAGTATTCATGAGTATTGGTTTTTGTCAAGTTTCTTTACGCCGACGTGCTTAAAAACAATATAATAACGCACAGTCGTGATGCTGCTAACAAATCATATCATGCGCTAATTAGCCCACATCTCTCGGACATCATCAACGCAATGATACAACACTTTTGAAAGGCTTACAACTTTCTTATTAAGATAATTTAGCGCACAGATAATGATGCGCAAAACTTTGCTGGACCGCGGCTTCTCTACACTCACATTTGGAGCTCCGCCACCAGCACCGAGCCGCCGTGTCGTTGTAACTGGTTTAGGAGCTGTCACTCCATTTGGCTTAGGCGTCTCGCGCTCCTGGGAAGCACTGCTGGAGTCGCGATGCGCTATTCGAGTATGCCAAACAAGAGATTGCGGGATGTGTTAGGCACTGATATTTAATTAACAATCAAATGCTGCAAATTGCAGCAAGTGCGCGCCCTCGCAGACACAGGACTCAAATGCACAATTGGTGCAACTGTGCCACGGGGCGATGGAGAAGGAGAATTTCGCACGAAAGATTGGGTGAACCTTAATAACTTTCGAGCACAGGAGCCAGACTTTATCGCGTTTGCATTAGCAGCAGGTTTTGTGCTTCAAGTGCTACGATGTTTTTTTGTATTTAACTCTGTCTAAAAACGATAATTATGCTACAGCTGATGAAGCTATAAAAGACTCGGGATGGAGTCCGCAATCGGACGAAGAGCGTGAACGAGCTGTAAGTATCAAAATTTGTTAGACATCAATGAAGCAGTCATGCTGTGAACTTGTCTTTGAAAGGGCGTGGCTATAGGTGCTGGAGTTGGAAACATTCAGGAGATTGTGGATGTTGGACAGCTCATCAAAGACAAGGTATAATGAATGGCAAAATTATTTGCGTGATATATTCAAATGTCTTATCTCTCAGAAATATCGTCGAGTATCTCCCTTCTTCATAACGCGAATTCTCATTAATCTCGCAGCTGGCCATGTGAGCATTGAACACGGCTTGAAGGTTAATCTAATTGATTGTGGATGAGATCCATCGACATTTCAAGTCTATGATGCAAAATTTTCTATAGGGCCCCAACCATGCTTGTGTGACGGCATGTGCTACGGGCGTCCACAGCATAGGAGATGCCGCAAATCTGATTCGACATGGCAACGCTGATGTGATGGTTGCTGGTGGCACCGAAGCTTCTATCAATGAGATTGCTATCTGCGCATTCTTGCGCGCGCAGGCTCTATCGACAAAAGTAATTGAGTTGTGTTATCAAAATATGGGGCTGAAAAGCTGACGCCATCTCAATAGTTTAACGATCGCCCACAAGAAGCATCGAGACCGTTTGACTCAGAGCGTGACGGATTTGTTATGGGTGAAGGTGCTGGCGTTGTTGTACTCGAGGTGCAATGTATATCACTGACATGTTTCAACCTCTCAGCAATTTGCTAATACTTCGATGTTCTGTCTCATGAAGGAGTACCAACACGCAAAGAAGCGTGGCGCTAGGATTTACGCAGAAGTGCGGGGCTATGGGTTAAGTGGTGACAGCAATCACATAACGGCTCCAATTGAAGGTGGGCAAGGTGCTCGACGAGCCATGGAGTCAGCAATCGCGCAGTCGGGGCTCGCTCTTTCTGATATTGGTTATATCAACGCACATGCAACATCAACTCCATCGGGTGATCTTGCAGAAAATGCCGCTGTCAAAGAACTTTTTGGCTTGCACACCAATAACCTGGGAATATCTTCTATAAAGGTGTGAATTTTACACCACTCAGATGTTGTTTGGCTGATTACTTGCTCTCTCGATTGTGTTCAAAGGGGGCAATCGGTCATTTGCTAGGTGCTGCCGGTGCTGTAGAGGCAATTTTTTCAATCAAAGCTCTTCATCATGTTAGTTTTTTGTGTGGTGCCCGATTTAGCACTTCGTTGTCACTGAAAAGTGTGCTTTTTAAATGTTTTCACAGAACGTGATGCCTCCAACAATCAATTTATCGAAGGTGACGGAAGAATTCACATTAAATTACGTGCCAAATCAGCCGCAAGAGAAAAAGCTGCGCGCAGTCCTTACAAACTCGTTTGGTTTCGGAGGAATAAATGCCAGTCTCTTATTTGCCAAGTAGCTGTCGAACAAGCAATTATGTGAGTTATATACAGTAAGTTCTTTAAAATTAAGCTGAAGCCTGTGCTGGCTTGTGCTAGCGCATGTTCACTCTCTCAAAACTATCTGCTTTCCCATTTCGAAGAGCTTTATCTGAAAATCCTTTTCCTTCGATCTTTTCGGATTGCATCCGTTGATGTGACAGTGGAAGAAAGGGATAGCTACTATTGCGGAATTCGTCGACTTTGTTCCGAGCTAACTACAACATGTTAGTAGAAAGTAAGCATGAGAGATGCTCATCCAATTTTTTTGACCGAAATTGTACCGTGATCTCCCGCTCCATCCGTGCTCTTTCTAGTGTCATCCGTTCCAGCGCTGTGCGAAGGTCACGCTCTTGTCGATAGCATTGCTGTTGTTTTGACAGTGCTGCTGTGAGTTGAGCACTTAACTCCGACACCTTCCGGTCACTATACTCGCATGCCTGTTCCTGCTCTATCAATAAATCTTTTGCATCATCTAATTCTCTGCTGAGTTGCTGAACTTGCAATGAGAGAACCGAACAGCGAGAGTCTGTCTCCTGTTGGCACTTGTCGGCGCGCTTTCTCTCTTCTTTTAAGGATTGCAACCTCTCTTTCAAGCTCTCAATTTCAGCCACAAGACGAACTTCGCTCCTTTCTCGCTCGCTGCGGGTATTGCTCACGACTGATGCCGCTTCTTTCTTTGCCAAAGATAACTTGTACTCTAGCTCAGCGGTCTGGGCTTTCAAATCTTGATTCTGCTGATGTAATATTTCGAACTCGCTACTAAATCGGTTGGCACAATCTGCCTTAACCTTATTCAACTGATCGTTTAGTAGCTGAACCTTACGGTGCTGCTCTTCGCTTTCGTCTTTCGCTTCGCGTGCCTCGAGGCGACGCATTTGTAGTTCGCGCTCCAGCGAAGCCACTCGTTCCTGTGTAATTTTATTGATCATGCAAAGCAATTGTAAGCACAGTTCACAAAAACATCGAGAGCCTTGTATTCACGTACACTTAATTCCTGTCCTCGTTCACGAGTTTCAGCCCGCAATTTTGATAACGCGTCATCTTTAGCTCGTATTCTTTCAAGGTATTCGACTTCCATTTGACTTAGCTGAATTACACCACACATGTATTTTCATTTCAGTCCAGCTGCTGGAAAATGAAACAACGCTACCACGGTACCGTATCGCGAGCCTCTTCCGCTGTTGCAACACGCTCCGAAAGATGCCTTAATTTATTCTACATACATTTCAGTCCATACTTATCTTGTAAGCTCCACTAGATGCTGACAATCACTTAACAATAAACACCTTGAGTACCTCGAATGAAATACCTGCGTCCTTGGAGAGACGAACAGAATCGGCAAGTTTCCTATCGAGATCTTTTTGGCTTCTGACTGCCACCTCTATTTTCAAGCGTAAAGCAACAAGCTCAGCATTCAAGGTTTTGATCTCTTGCTCTCGACTGCTCATGACTGTCTCGTGTTTCCGGGCTAGCGTACTCAGACTCTCATCTTTGAGTTTTACGTAATCTGCAGCTTGTTGACGAAGTCGTTCCAGTAGTCGCGCTATCTCCCGTCGACTCTGCAACTCACGAGCAGCCACCTGATCAGTCAAATACAATGAAGACTTCATCAGGACAATATCAACCAATGTATAAAACATTGCGGTCTCAACCTCTTCTTTTTCTAAAATTGCTTCTTCAGCTTTTGTTTTGCACTTCACTTCCAGCTACATAAGCGCCCAGCGAAGATTTCAGCCGCATCTCTTTCATTAAAGCAAAAAAGCGCATTTACCTCAGCTACGGCTTCCTCTCGTGCACTATATTGCGTCAGCTGTTTCTCCATGCTGTTCAAAACATTCAGTATGCCTTCACAATCCTGTCGCACGGCATCGAGTTCTGATTGTAGATCGCTGTTTCGCTCTTTCAATTCGTCGATAGCTTTGTCTTTTGTATCAAGTGCATCCGTAAGTTCACGCAGACGCACACAAACGTTTTGATAACGCGTCGAAAATGCTTCATCTTTGCATTCACTGCCTCGTTTCATCTTCTCTATCAAATCCGTACATTCCTCAAGCTTACTCTCTAATTCGCTTCGCTCTCGGCGTGCTGTATCGATTTTTGTCGTCAAAGTCTCTTTAGCGCTCTCCAGCTGTGCGACTGATGCCGCATACCGCTGTAATTGCCGTTCGCAATGCAATTTCTCCTCTCGAATATGCGTACAAGCGTCACGCACCTCCAGCAGTGCTTGCGTGGCTTCATTCAGATTCTGCCCAATACTCTGCAGCTGTTGATCTTTATCTGTAAGCTCTGTCTTCATTGCGCCAAGCTCATTGTCTTGAAGTGAAACTTGCTCCATCAGCATGTTATTTTCTGCCATCAATACGTCAATACGTTCGTTCATCTCCTGCAAAAAGTCGCCATTCTCCTGTACTTGCATCATCTCGTCAAGTTGCATTCCCTTCGGATAATTCTGCATTCGCAGCAGCATCTTCTCTCCTGCACCTCCCAGCTCTCTGTAATTAAGTCTTTTCGTAAGCTAATGCCTCCAAATTCTCACCCATTGAGCGTGTCTTACTCCTTCAATTTCGTATTTTCCTTAACATACTCTTCAGCTCGTGTTGTCACTCGGTCTAAAGCTTTCTTGCTATCTAAAAGAGCAGTTTTCTGAAATCGCAATTATTCTAAAACATTCGTTATGGGTCCCATGTTTGGAAGGATCACAATTTTCTTACCAATTCTTGAATCTTAAGGTCATAAGCCTGCAGTAGCGGATTCATGTAGTCGGAGGCCGTCAGCCACGGCGCTAGACGTTCGTGCGGCTCATTGTTACTTTCTGTCACTTCTGCTAAATTTCTTATCCGATCTGATTCGCCGTGACGTTGAAGTATACCGCGTAGCTGTACTAGCAATCGCTCGGAGTAAGATCGGAGGAAGTCTCTTTCATCCGTAAGTCGCGCGCTTTCCAAGCAGCAGCCAGAGACGCAAGGTGAAGGACCTGTAGCGCTTTTGACATGTGCAAGAGGATGAACTTGTGGCTGTGACTGATCCTGAATTTGTAGGCGCCCTTGAGCCTGCAGACGGCGTGATCGCTCCGCTTGAGGACCTCCATCATCGTCCATGCTGATTGAAGTTTGCGTCTTTTCAGGAATTATCGCGTGCGAGAGTATATAATTTGGATGAAGTCTCTTTAATTTGATTAATTGTGTCTCACTACAAAGATTGCATTTGCTTTGTTTTTTATTCATTGGTACCTACTTGTCTACCCTGACTACTTGCCAAAATGCCAACAGTGGGGGTGAAACGTGACGAGCTGTTTGCGGCCTTAGGCCAAACTTATACAGATGAGGAGTTTGATGTGCTATGCTTCGAGTTTGGGATCGAATTGGACGACGTGACGAGCGAAAAACAGCTCAAACAGCGCGAGACCAAGGGCCAATTAAAGGATCACTCAGCTCACTCGGACGCTGTGCTCTACAAGATTGACGTGCCCGCGAATCGTTACGATCTCCTTTGTGTTGAGGGAATTGCTCGTGCCCTGCGTATTTTTCTAGAAAAAGAACGCCCACCTGTGTACAGGCTAGCACCCCGAGCCAATGGCGCGCTCCACCTTACAGTCAAGGCCGATACCAAGGTACACCGAACAATGAACTTACTGGTCAGAAAAGCTGACAACATGTTGTTCTATTTTGCAGCTGGTTCGTCCATACGTCGTGTCAGCCGTGCTACGCGACGTTCAATTTACGCAGGAACGGTACGATAGCTTCATCGATTTACAAGACAAGCTGCATCAAAACATCTGTCGCCGCCGTACGCTCGTAGCTATTGGTACACACGACTTGGACACTATTCAAGGGCCCTTTACCTACAATGTACAAGTGCTTTAGAGAAGTGTATTTGATCGTATACAAGATTGACATAAGCCGTTTTATGTAGGCGCTACCCCCTAAAGAGATCAAATTTATACCGTTAAGTCAAGACAGGGAATTCGACGCTAAAGAACTGCTGGATTTCTACCGAACCAACCCGGAAGTCAAACACATCAAGCCATACACCGATATCATTTATGACTCACCCGTGTATCCTGTTATCATGGACAAAAACGGCGTGGTCTTATCATTACCACCCATTATAAATAGCGAACACTCTAAGATTTCTCTTGACACGAAAAACGTTTTCTTTGAAATTACGGCCACGGACATCACGAAGGCCAAGATAGTGCTCAACACCATGATTGCTATGTTCTCCGAGTACTGCGCCAAGCCGTTTACTGTTGAGCCGGTACAGATCAATTACGAAGATCAGACAGTATATAAGAACGAATTGACTCCCGATCTCAACAATCGCTCGGTTGAAGTACAGATCAAAAATATTCAGTCCATGCTGTTTGGCAAAAGGGATCCAATAGACCTTGACGTTGATCGAATCTGTAAGCTGTGCGACAAGATGCAATTAGACGCAAAGCCCTCCGGCAATAAAAACACTATAATTGCAGAAGTACCAATCACGCGTTCGGACATTCTGCACCCCGTGGATGTGATAGAGGACATAGGTATTGCCTACGGCTTCAACAACATCCCGTTGACGGTTCCTCAGACGCAGACTATTGGAATGGCTCAGCCTTTGAACAAGCTGAGCGATCTTCTTCGCGATGAGATCAGCCGTGCCGGCTACATCGAGCTGCTCACTCATGGTCTATGCTCTCATAAAGAAAATTTTGAATATCTTAACCGCGCGGACGATGGCCACACGGCTGTTGTATTGTCCAATCCAGCCACTGTTGAATTTGAAGTTGTCCGGACATCAATGTTGCCAGGTGTTCTGAAAACGATTCAAAACAACAAGGCCATGTCGATCAAAGAAGGCTTAAAGTTGTTTGAAGTTTCGGATGTTGTTGTGATTGATGATGATACGGAAACTGGTGCGAAGAATATACGTCGTATTTGTGCTGCGTATACCGGACCAACCGATGGATTCGAAATTATCCATGGTCTGGTAGATCGCATTATGCAGTTGATGGGCATTCCGTCCGAATTAGAGATGCCTGCCGGCACAAAAGAGTTCTACACTGTCGCGCCCGCGGAAGAACGAACGTATTTCCCTGGTCGTTGTGCGTATCTAATGTTGCAGAAGGAGGATGCTAAACCTCAGCGGCTCGGTGCCTTTGGAGTACTAAACCCGGTGGTTCTAAAGAATTTCGACTTGCTTAACCCGACATCCGTTCTCGAGATAGATTTGGAACCTCTGGTTTAAGCTCCACTGCAGTAAAACAGACAATGGTATAAAGCACTTTACTGCAGCTATTGACATCGCACGAGCCAAGTAGTCAGCCAATCCGTGACCATAAAATGCGCTGTTATGCGAATCAACGTTTTTTGCCGATATTCTTGAGTTCTAATTATATGTAGGCGAATTTGCTCGGCGAATTAATAGAAGACACTTTTCTTAGAACTAAGACTTCCAAACTTTATTTTATTGCCATTGTGCTTATAACTATGGACGGTAACAAGCTGGATCGGGAATTGCTCTCGCTAGCCGATACCATCAGCATAAGCAATCCCATCACTTTTGGACAAAAGACTACTTGGTATGATTATGGGGGTATAAATGGAGCTGCAAATTGAATAATTAATTTTATGTTCTCTGCTTCGGAACTAATGCAGGCGTACGTCACTAAAGAATGCAGAGCTTGTAGCAAAGCAAGAATATCATATTGCGGAGTCATTGCCACCCAAATTTGTGCTGACTGAGTCGCAGAATGCCAAAAAGGCCAATGCAACGAACCCGAAGATAATAAATGATGATGGTAGTATCATTGCAAGAAACGTTGACGATGATTCGATTGAAGTGGCTATAGAGGTTTTGCCAAAACGCGTCCCGCTCGCGAAACGGAGTCACATGGATGGGATCCTCCGTGGTGTTCCTGGTGGCTCCATGCAGATAAGTACCACTCAACAGCGCGCATTTGTGTATGACAGCGAAATGAACACCATGAATTGCGGCAAAGATACTAGTCATCACCGTAAGCGCGACGCATATTCTGACTATGTAGAGGCTCGTGCACGATTTAGCAAGATGCACAGCGTCAAGTAACACTCAACATCGAATATATCTTACTCAAGAACTAAAATAAAATATTACTTGCTTATGCCTTATTTGGCTAAGTTCGTGCTACAGTAAAACTAAAGCGTCTTTTTAGCAGTTATATCAGTAGTAGAGTCAAAGGTTTGAGCAGCATTGACAACATACATATCCATGTGCTTCGGCAATTTCAGTTGGCCAGTCGAGGTGTTACATTTGCCTTGCGACTTAAGGTAAATGCTATTTTGACGCGATCAAATTTAGTGCTTTCCTCAATCAATCTTTGTACAAGTACCAATCATCGGAAACTCCTCTTACAGAGAGCTTTCTCTTGTTTACCACTTTGAGAACCCAATTCGCCTTGATTCATCGATTGTATCTATACTTCAAGTATTTTCAAGAAATCGTCTAGTGGTTCAGCACTCAAAAGTTGATTTTTGTTCGTCGAATTATTAGTCGACGGCGCATGTCCACTCGAATTCTAAGTTTTAGACCCGTTATTCATTGGTTTAGTCATTCTGATTTGTAACGTTATCGTTAATCTTGCTCTGTTCGGGTTCTTCAGGCTCTTTCTCACCGCTATCTACCACATTATCTCGTAGGTAAGGACCTGCTAGCCGATTCTTCGTGTGCTGTTTCCGATTTCGAAGCTTTCCAGCTTCCTTTGAATCCTTGGGCATTTCCACTTCAACTATGGGCGTTGTTTTGATCAGTGTCGCTGATAGCTCAATTTGGTTCAACTAGCAGCAGAATTCTCACAAAATGATAACAACCTGTATGACGATTCCAATTCTAGACAAACTTACCTGCACTTGTGCATTCAAAAGAGCAGCTTCAAGAAAGCCCCGATGTTCAGCCGCAGCTTGAATTTCACGCGAGCTTACAAATCGTCTCTTCTTAGAGACAGCCAGACACTTGCCATGTGTATATTTCAAATCAACTGGCTTCGTCTCGCCGTTAACTGAAATTTTGACTGGAAGTTTAATAACAGATCCATTTTGTGGCACGAAATTCCTAGACGACCTCCTGCTTTGCCCATTTTCACCAATAATCTTCTGTACGATGCTATAAGGACTCTTTTCAGTATTCTTTTCAAGTTTAGCTCCGGCTATCGCGTCGGCAAAAGCACTGGCAGAATGATTTTGTCTGAATTGGGTGCTATTTCCCAGCGAAGTTAGACGGCGTAGTGCTTTCGCCTTCGACAGTCGATCTAACATATGTCCAAGAGAATAGCCACCAGCCTTTGTCGCGTTATTGTGTTGATCTCTCTCTCGAATAAAAGCGCCTTTTTGTTGTAATTGAGGACATTTGTCATCATAAAGACTGAGCGGGATACCAGGAGCATAACTATCACTTGGTTGGATTGCATTAATGCGAGGAGGCAATTGTGGGGTCACAGGCAAAGAATGGAGAATTCGCCGAGGTCCTGTTTGTAACGTTAAAAATCGACCCTCAGGTTTCAATGCAGTAGGCTTAATTGGAGGCGGTCGATCGTGGGGTTTTCGTGTTAACGAGTCACCAAGACTATTGGTCTGCAATCGTAGCTCTGTTGAGCACTCGTCCAAATAGTCGATCTGTTTGGGCTTTTCGCGAACGGGTCGTAAGCACGCCGGGGCGCTGGCACTCGTTCGAGCCCCAAGAGCGTTGGCTTCAAGTGAAGCAGTGGTGTAGTCTGCATACACGAGACAGCAATGCTCGCAAACTCCAACAGTTTTGTGCAAAAATATTGGGTCTTGGCGAAGACGAGCATAGTCCTCAGGCAGTAGCGCTGGATGAATGTACCGAATCACAGGGGGTATAATAAGTTCGCGCTTTTGCCACTGCTTTCCTCCACGTCTTACCTTCGTCAACCCAGGAACACTGTTGTTAGATTTCGTCATCTTCAGGTGATGACAGATGCCGAATCCAACGCCGCCAGCCTGCTGTACAACTTGCTCGTTTGGTGGCCACTCAAGCGAAGTTCGCTTGTCTCCATCAATGCACTGGTCAGAAAATTTCAGCACGTACTGGAAATGAGCCAACACAGCTCTGTAAGTCGTCGGAAAGAGCGCACGCTGAGCTACGACCTGAGCACAACTAGCACAGCGCGACTGTCCCGAACAAAGTTCGTCATTTGCTTCCAAAAATTTCGCGGAGCTTCGAAATCTTGACCGATTATCGAAAGCTTGAGCAAAAGTAAGACTTGAAACTTTTGCGTCGCTGACAATGTCGAGTGGGCGAATGTTTATTGCTGAAGCCGATGCGACGGCAGTCAACGGCGACTGCAAACGCATTGAAGAACACCATAATAACCACAATCGATCGTCCGCATCTAGTTGAAGCCGCAAGACCATTCGTGCAATTCTGTACTTATGGTAGGAAACGCGAGAAACGTAGTCAACAACTCGCTCACACAGCTGTTGCACCATACCAGGCAAAATGGACCCTCGCACTGGATCCGGTCGGCTGAGAGAATCTACACCGCCTCCTTCTTCAAATGTGACACCGCGTTCATAAACATTAAATCGGGCGTCGTGGAGTGTATGCACATTTTCTCGCCTTTCCAGTAAGCACAATTTTGGTGACCAAATCGCCTTGAGTGTTGAATGGTGGCCTCCTTTTGGAACTAAAAATTGCTGGAGTATGCCTGCTGACCGGTGCGAAGTAGACGTTGATGCGTGCGAGTTTTTTTGTCTTTTGAATAGAAAAACGTGAAGCGCCTCCGCGTCAAAGTATTCGATGGCAGGGCTGATACTTTCTGAATCTGATTGACACAAATAATAAGCCACAATCTCCGTGCTTGCCTTCATCTTAGTAAACGATTGTTCAATAAGTGTCGAATTAAGATGTTCTCGAGTTTTTCGTTTAATGCGTCCACACTTGCGACTCGTAAAATACCAAGCCATTGGCTGCGAACCTCGATAGATTACCGTTTGTGGTACTGGAACTTGAACATCACCTCCAAGGTTATCTGCTGACCACAAGTATTGATACAAATTCTCCACAAGACCATCACCTTCGAGTGGCAACGCTGTTGCCATGCTCGAGCGTGCTGGCTTAAAATAAAAAATCGGCCGTTTCGACAATTTCAATCAAAAAAAGTTTTCAGCAATGTACAAGAAGCATTGATCTTAACATGAGCCATAAAAGACCGGCATTGCCAACTAAATCACCCGTTGAGGATCGAGCTGGAACACACTCAAAATTATCTTCTCTTGAGCCCGAAGCCAAAGGCCAGCAAGATTTGCGACATGCCGTAGATCTGTATCAAAAAGGACTTGAAATTGCACATGGAGCGATCAGTAACGAAGACTGCTTAAAAGCAATTAATTGCTTCAGCCTGGCGATTGCCACATGTTCAAATCAAGCTCGCTTTTTTTTCGCTCGTGGTAACACATATCGTTCCATCGGAGACTTTGAATGTGCGGCCATAGACTACGGATTCGCAATTATGCTTGATGACCGATGTGCACTATACTACGCCAATCGTGGAGCTTGCTATCGCAAGCTTCATCAAACGGCTAAAGCCCTTGAAGATTACTCTAACGCAATCAAAATGGATTCGCGAAAAGCAATTCACTTCTTTAACCGAGCACTTGTGCTGCATGATGCCGAATTCTATCGCGAGGCCATCATTGACTTCACAAATGCGCTCGAAGACGGATCGCCGGCTGCAGACCCTGAAACGAATAAATCCAATTCGATACCTACTGGCAATAGTAATGGAATTGGTGTCCGTCTTTGGTGTCGCGCTTTGCAGATTCGTGCCAATTGTTTTCGGCGACTTGGATTATTGTCAAAGTGCATTGAAGATCTACGGTCAGCTTCCAAGCTCGACTCTCAGAATGCTTCCGTGCATAATGCTCTTGCGCTCGCTCATTATGAAACCTTCGACTTTGATTGCGCTGTCGACGCATTCACACGAGCCATCGAGCTGAATTCGAGTAATCCAACCTAGCTACCGTGGACTGTGTTACATTCGTCTTGGTCAAAAAACTGCTGCAAAAGAGCAAGAAGAGCTCAAATCGCCACCCATCATTTCCAGTGGAATTCGGGTATTCGCACGACAGTGCCTGGCCGACTTTAGCACGTGTATTCAGCTTGATGCTCACAACGCGCAAGCATATTTTTATAGAGGCTCTGTTAAGCTCGCACTAGCGCTAGATCTGGATCTGTCTTTTTCTACGTTTACAAGTTTTGATATTAGCACGAGCCCTGCAATGACGAAAGCCAGAAGTTTGCCGAATGATTATGGGTCAAATGAGGGTGGCGAAGGCATCAATGATGTGATCGATCCCTTAACCTCAAATATGAGCAACTTATCTGCAGCCGACCAACTAGAGGCAGCATTAAATGATATTGAAATGGCACTTAAAATATGCCCCACTGCGAGGCCTTTTCGAATCTGCCTGGCTATGATTATGCAGCTAAAACAGCAGCATTTGGAGGCTCGGTCCATATTTGAAACAATTCCATCGGCTAACAAAAGTGTACTGGTCCAATTCCATACAGCGCTTTGCTATCACGCTCTAGGTGAATATGAACGTGCATTGGAGCTACTGACTGATGCACTAGACGATTTTCCCGATGAGGCAATCATCCTTGAAGCTCGTGGGTTCATGCTGCAAGAAACTAAGTTGTTTTCCTTAGCCGTTGCAGACTACACGCATGCGCTGGAGATACTTGAGAGCCACGAAGAGTCCGAAAAGAACAAAATTCAAACTTTAAGACTGCGTTATCTGCGAGGAGAGAGTGCGTTGCGACTTCTGCGCTATCAAGATGCTGTCGACGACTTCGCTGCTGCTATCGCTGGAGGCTATACCGCAAATATGGCTGCTTACAATGCCCGCGGCATGGCATTTCGCGGTCTGGGCGATTACGAAAGCGCTCTTCTGGATCTCAACGTATGTATTAATTTGGTATTATTTGAGTCATGTTGCCATGCTCATCACTCATGCAGATTTGCGTGGCGCAAGCGGCAAAAACTGACATCTTTCGTTACCATCGCGCGCTTTGCCTAATGGAGTGCGCTCGTTACGCGGAGGCTTTGCCTGATCTTCATGAGTGTATACATAAAAACACCACAAACTCAAAGTACATTGCTGACTGCTTGTGTTGCTTAATGTCTTCGAGCTCATGAAAGTGTCACTGTACGCAGACTGCTTTATCACTTGGGATTGTGCTACTACCATGAACACCAACTTAGTGAATGTGTGAACTTCATGAACCACGCTCTGGAATGCGAACCCGGGCAACGGTTGCTCTCTGAAATGTAACATCTGGCAAATCGAGCAGCTTGTGTTCATATATCAATTCTGACTTTGCGCTGCTTTTGTTACAGTCATTATTACATGGGGCTTTCGCATGCGCTGGAAGGCCGAAACATGGACGCCATTGAGCACTTTACAACTGCTTACGATCACTCTTTGATGGCGGAAAGAAGTATCGAGTTCGAAAATAATCAGGACGATGAGCCTGGTGAAGCAACTGACAAGCAGACACAAGTGCAGCACCTGCATGAATCTCAGCTCATGTACATTCATGAGCGCGCCAAAGCCTTTCAACTTGAGCGATATTATTCCAAAGCTCTCACTGATTTTTCTTTTGTTATTGCTCAGCAACCAACAAATGCACACGCGTACTTTCGTAGAGGATTCGCTTACAAAGCACTAGGCGACATCAAAGCTGCGGCCCACGACCTTCAAACTGCTCGCTCGCTTGACCCGAGCAATTTAGATTTGGTTGTCAATTACAAGAAGCTGCGAAATGTCGAGTGCATCGAACTTTGCTTACTTTGCGCTCCAGGCGAGGAAGAGTGTCTTCAGATGAAGGGCAAAGGAGGAATTTACTTGCACTGATTTAGGCGTCCTCGAAACGTCGCGATCTAGACGTTTTAAAGATTCTTTGTTGCGCACTAGTGAGCCAAATCAAGTAGCAGTGACATTTTTCAGAGGTGCTTTCATGGGCAACGTTTGCGTCTGCTGCAAGTGGGGCCGAGACGGACATTATGATGAAAATGGCAAGCAAGGAGGCTGGACTGATCAATACTCTAAACCTCTTGTAACTGCAAAGCATGATCTTGGCGCGCTTGAGTCTGATGAAGCCGACGGTCTTATAAAAAGAAAAGTTTTGATGCGCTCGCCTCGACCTGGAAGCGCATCAACTCAGGAATCTGACCGCAATTACAGTCCATCACGCTATCAGCAGCAATACGAACCTCATAAACGATCGCATCACAAGCACAAGGTCAAGGCGGCATCTATAGACTCTAACAAATACTCTAAGGGAGCAAAATTTTCTGATGATCGAGAACATCCTAATTTTCATGGCGAGCTTCCCCCAATTCACTACCTATCGCGCAGAATAGATGTCAACGATGACAGAGAATGGAGGACCAACAGGTCCACATCACTCGAGGTGCAGGACAGTGCTAAGGATTTTCGGTCTTCGTCGTCGCCAGCAAGATCACCTCGAGGGATTCAGGATGCAGCATCTTGTGTCGATGATGACTTCGAAGGTGTAGATCCGATTCACGGCTTAATGCGATTGCACCAGTCGTCACCAAATGAATCGTTGTCGCCAAAAACATCATCAAAGTGTGGTTCTCCGCATAAGAACTCACGCTACGGACGGAAACACTATCGTGCCGACGCCAATCGTAAGTAGCTGCCCCATATTCAAGAAGCGCAACCTTATACAACGCACGGGATCGTCTGCCCATTTTCACCCGTTCTTTATCTCTATAACTCGCTTCTGTGACCTCTCCCATCGGACAAATTCACAACTACATACATGCATGACAGCGATTGACTTCCTCGAAATTAGTTGCTGTCTACTGCGGATGCTGACAAAAGTGGGGTCACGCTATATGCCGGATCATTTCGGCATAGAAATGATGTACTGGAGAAGCTGCCGCTCTGAAATACTACCATCAAGGCCAGGAATACCCCCACCTTCGCTAGCAACAAACTTGAATATAGGCTCATCGCACTCAAAACCACCAAGGTTATAAGGGGCCTCCGTAGGGGTGTAAATGGCACCATCAACCTCGTGTGTAACACTCTGAGCAAATTTTGTTAACATGTACTCAGTCTTAGCCAGACGAAAGTGGTCTTTCATGCGCACACGAAACGGTTCATTTCCGTAGTCAAATGTCTTGTCCTGGTGATCTCAACAATGTAGATGAGTATGAGAGACTTCCAGCAATCACACCATTTTCTTACGCACATTTTTGCGCGGAACAATAATCTCGTTTTGCAAGCACTGCAACCGTTTTTCGAGCTTTTTTTGCCAAATCGCTGTCCCCTCTAAAAAGATGATATCGAAAGCCAGATATCGAGCTACCTTTGTATCTTGGTCTTGGTCCTCCACTAACAGCCCGTCAATTAGCGTATTTTTCTGAAATTCGTTCTAAAGATATCATCTAGTCAGCATCGACAATTTCTCATTGCATATATCGGCATGAGATTACCAGCGCCCTACGTCGGGGAAACTTCATATTAACTTTGGTGAAGGACATATCTCGAGACACGACGAACGTCCCGTCTGCGGTCACATAGAGAAGACAACGGCGACTACAATTACGCGACAATAAGGTCTGCAGTCATTGCGTATATCACTCTCACGAGCAAAACGTACCCTCTTGCCCGCCAGGTTACAAGGTACGCTTTTGTCAAACAGCCCTTTCGCTTGTATGCTCCTTCCGCAACATGTGTTGCTGTAAAAGGGATTGACTTAGATATATTTCGGATGAAGGCGTGAGTTCCAAACATTATCAACAAACCACGCGTATGTGCTTACCTCGCATCCAGGGAAACCTTCAATACCTGTAAGTTTTTCCAAGGATGTGGTCAGCTTTTGATGCTCTTTTGATGTGGCGGCAATCGTTTCGCCGTAGGCCAACGGCTCTACCTCGTCTACCCACGAACGAATTTTACGACGCTTTGCCGGACGCGGCTCCTGGCGGTCTGGAGGAATATACAGAGGAGCTTTGTATACTGGAGGAGTTGGTAAACCACTTGATAAAACTGCTTGCTCTGGATCGACTAAAGAGGTCTTAGAAGATACATCACTAGGAGTCACATCCTTCTTTATTCTCTCAAATCGAGAAGCTCGATCTAGTTCGGTCAGAACTTCACTGCCAACGGACGATCCGGTCTTGCGCTTGCGTGTTTCAGCGTGCTCCCATCGTGGAGGAGACGGAACTGCTAGTCTTGTCGACTCGGCCGGCAATGTGGTATAATACTTTCGGTATAATCGCTGCGCAATAAAGCATTAAAATTGGAAATTCCGCAAAATTTAATAAACTCCCTACGCACTTCCAGGTAATGCCGCGAGAAAATGCCAGGAGCTGTTGATTGTGCAAACTCTTCTAGCGCCTTATCTAAATTCAGTCCACATTGCTCCACCAGAAAACTGTAATGATCCGTCCCAGCAGATTTTGAAAGTCAGCTTTTTCGACACCATCATCAATAGTTTGCCGCGTACCTAACGATAAGATAACCAACAAAGTCGTAGCCTTCAGCACCAAAGACAGCGACATCCATATCTTTGCGCTCGCTCTTAAGATGTTTACTAATGGTCTTGTTGAAAGCCCCGACCATCTGGTCATCGTGATCTTTTCCTTCGTCGTCTAGAACAGGCAATCAAAGCAGTCTGTAAGGCTCACAAGCATGTCTACCTCTGAAATAATACTCGTTAATTACCTTCGGGCATGTCAATATGCAGCTTAACGTATTGAACATCCCAGTCGTCCCATTCCCTACGACGCACTTTACAATGAGGAAATACAATAGGAACCCCAAATTTAGCGAAAATGAATCACGCACTCGATGTCGTGAAAAAAGGTGTCGCTACCCGTTGCATCGATCACCAATCCGACGTCTAACACAGAGCCTGCACGCGTATCCGCAATAAGTTTCTCCATAAGAGCAGAAGGCGAATAGCTTTTTCTGTCCGAGAAGTAAATCTCGTAGCTGCAAATGTAATGAAAATATCAGAGAGAAGATGTATCGATGCAGCACAAAAGCACAATGTACATAGGGGAGAGCGGCGCGCGGATGGGCAGAATGGGCGCGCTCTTGATGCGTGTTGTGTACTGTGGTATGCACTCAAATTGCTTCCAGCGTGCAGCATCCCAGCGAAGAAGCTTGCGGCTTCCGCTTACAGATTTTTGCTGCTGGGCGGCACGCAACTTGGCTGCCACCTCAGCGCGGGTCGCGTCATCGCTCATAACTGTGTTGGCAATGAAGGATCGAAGAGTGATGGTCTACTGTTTCTGCGTTGTGAGTAAAACCTCGAGCACATAGATAAAACCATACTCAAAAGAGACCAAATCAGCACAATCTGACGATCACGAATAGCAGATGCAATGGGTACTCGGTGCGTGGAGCAAATCGCGTGGGGTGCTTGCTAAGGAAGGCAATGAGGTACAACAAATTTTGTCATATCTCTTTAGACGCTCTCAAACGCTTGTTTCATGGATGCGAACAAAGGAGTTGCAGGAGGTAGTAGCAAAGCTACGCAAGCTCGGTCAGCGCGCCACTTTGGAGGAGGTGTGCTTCCTATTAAAATGATAGCTTAATATGATACTTACGAAGATCCATGGTCAAAAGTTTAAGGAATCGCCTCTAGTGGCTAAGCTGAAGTCATCCCTGCAGTTTCACGGCCTGGGAAATATGATTTACAGCAACGCTGGCGACAGCAAAGAGGAGGTGCAGAAGGCGTTGCATGTTTGGAAGATAGCTATGGAAAAGGTGGGAAAGTAGCTGCAATGTGTCAGTGCAGCGCTCAATCTCACAGATCAAGTGTAGGGAAGCGCGAAGGCAAAGTTTAGCTACGCTCTATGTATGAAAAAGGGTATTGGTGAGGGAGTTGCAAATGTCAGCCAGGCATTCGCCATTATAGCTGACGCTGTATTTGGCGAACTGCAGGTTTTCCAAACAAGGATTTGGCGGGTGCTGTCAAGCACTTTAAGGATGTGAGAGTGATGCGCTTACTTTTTGATATTTTTAAGAGTCGAGCTAAAGAAAAAGTGCTAACTTAGTTAGCTGCAACCGGACACGGATGGGGAACATTTGCATACGCAGATGCCTTGAGCAACGGTGATGGCATACGCAAAAATGAGGAAAAGGCCTTCGAGCTGTTTAAACAATGTGCTGAAGCTGGAATTCCACCAGCTTTCATGAATATTAGCAATATGTACAGATCTGGAACGGGAACCCTAAAGGTAGGATTCCACATTTCTGTTACTCGTAATCGTTGCGTACTGCAAGTTTAGGCTGATAATTTCCTGCAGAACGAGCAAAAAGCTTTAAAGTGGCTGGTTAAGGCTGCTGAGGCTGGTGACCCAGCTGCTCAATCTCGGCTGGGTGAGTGTTACTCGCTCGGCAAGGGTGGTGTACAAAAGAATCAGGGTTTGGCTGTGCACTACTACATGAAGGCGGCTAGTGCTGGTGTTGTCGCTGCACAATTCAACCTAGGTTATTTGTTTCTTACTGGCGACGGTGTGCCACAAGACACCTTACAAGCTGAGGCTCTCTTTTACAAGGCCGCCAGCAAGGGCTTTGTGATGGCCATGGTTAATCTTGCTCAGATGTATCGCACTGGATACGGCAAAGTGCCTAAGGACCTGAATACGGCGCGCAAGTGGCTGGAATTGGCTGCTCCACATGATCCTAATGCTAAAGAGCTCTTGACGGCAATAACTGAGTCGGAAAATGCATAGAAAATTATTATGAACAGCTGATGCGACTCAAAATCTCTTATTGATTTCTACCCACTAATTCAAGCGCTATTTAATGGCTGGAGACGGATACGAATGCCTGGATCGTGCAAACGGCGCAGACAATAGAGCTTATTATGAATATAATCCAAGCTGTGAGTATGCGACGGTCAGTGTTAGGTTTATCGCGCCGGATGCAGACGTAGGATACACATGGAAGGACGTACGAGATTATAAGGCCAACAGTAGATCCCATGAGGTTCCAGACAATAGCCACGCTTGGTGAAAGAAGTGCCACCGCGATGGCGCCGGTCATGATGCCGAAGGTAAGCAGCACGTGCAGGATAGTAGAATTTGACCAATCTTGTGTAATACCTTCAGATTCTTCGCTTTCACTTGAGTTTAAAAGAACCGTGCTCTCGTTAATAAGAACTGTATCGTGATCAGTATTGGTCGAATCGGGCGCTTTATACACTTTGATCGTGAGTCCATGGACAATTCTTGCAAGTCTAAAAACGTTGGCGCGGCAAGGCTGGATGATGAGTGACAAGTTTAACTGAATCGTCAGAAGCAGTCCAAGTCGTCCAAAATTCACCAGATGATCGTTGTCACTAAAGTTTTTTAAAATGTCGCCTTGAACACCGCCCTGCTGCTGGAACGCGTACAGGTACCCCATTATGCCGAATATAATGTAGAACAGCCACGCAGAAGACATCGTAGATGCCACGATCTTCTTCAGACGGTGACGTGTGGGCTTGTGCAGCTCGTGATACACAGGCAATACATTAAAGTGGCAAAGGAACGATACAGATATGATAGGAAAAGCATACACTGCATCTGACAGGCTGTCGGGAATTAACTTCATTGGGATCTGTGTTTTAATTGGAGCGTCGCGTCTTGTAAGCGTAGTATCTAGTGCCCGGACTGTAACAGCAATTGCCAGTATTATTACTGACATGAGACCGAACATTGAGGTGAAGCGTAACGCATTCATGGAGCGTGCTAGCAGCGCCGGCGACACGAGCAGCACGCAGATGATCGTCAGGACGTTCTGCTCCACTTCAGTTATGGAACGATTATAGAGATAACTCGCACCAAGCGATCCCACAAGATCTTTAGTGAGGATGATGTACGCGACGAGCGTGAGAAACGTGAGTAGTACGAGGAGCACGACAGTGAATCGACCTACCCGCTTGCCGAGCGCCTTGCGCACCACTTCCTCGTAAGAGGTAGCGCGACCGCGACGACTACAGCTCACAATTACATAAAGACTAAACGTTGAACCAGATGCAGCAACGATCATGAATAAAAAAGCAACGACGAGTCCGCACTTGTCGAAAGCAAAAGGGAGCGATAATATGCCACCACCTATAATTGTGCTTACTAATGTGAAGGTGGCGGATGAAGCTGTAGTGGTGCGCGAGATAGAGAGTGGTCCTGGGCTAAAAAACTCATGACTTCCTCGGTGACGCTCATAGCGGTAGACGCCGGCGTCGGTCATGCTACCTTGTGAAAATTTGGGCTTGGGGCTATCTGTTAGGGTAATGTGTTGTAATTACACATTACCCTACTTAAAGTAAAAAAAGGTTTTTATCTAATAAGGCAAGAATCTAAATAAGAAAAACACTAGATATAAAACAAAATCTCAAACTTCAACAATGAAGTCAATAATTTATTTGACTTTTTGGCCATAACTAGCATTTTGCCGTTCGCGCGTGTGCTGGACAAGGGACTGTCTTTATCGCTGCTGTGCTGATTATTCCCCTCTATGAAAAATACATTTGAATGCTGCACTGTTGTCTAAATGCCTTATTGGCTCCGGTCCGACCCGGCCGAACAAGTATCACAAACAAGCTCGGGTCAAGGTTGTAATTACTCTTGTAGTAA